GGCAAAGCGGACAACATCAACGAGGGCATTGTAAAATAATTGTTTACATAAAAAATTGACATCCAAATAAAATATGACGCGCCCGTCACATCACGTTGTTACAAAGATGACTCCCGACTAGCTGGAAAGTCGGGAATGGAATTTTCATTGAGGAATTCGATTCGAAACCGAACACTTCGTCTACCAGATCACAATACGATCTATACGATTGGCAGAGGTGTAGGATATAACGGAGTGTCTGTACTGGGTTACCGCAAACTCTATTCAGCATATAATAAATATTATGACAGATAGTAAACACGTCATAAAATTTATATCAATTACCCTTATTTTTTTACCCTTCACCACACTGTGGTATAGGGTATTACGTCTTTGTGCATATGTTTGTAACAGGCAAAAATAATCGAGATAGACCCATGGTTCCTTTTGAGAATATGCATAGAATCACTTTCTGAGTCGATTTATGCATGTCCGTCCGTCTGTCCGTCTGTAGATGTTAAATTGTAAACAAAGTACAGGTCGCATGTATGATCCGAATTGGATGAAATTTGGCACAGCTCATTTGTTTGGCCCAAGGACGAACCCTATTGAAATTGGTTCAGATTTAGATATAGCTCCCATATATATTTTCGCCCGATTTAATGTAAACGGTCCCTATATATCTTTTGATTTGCACGAAAATTGGCACAGCGTAATGAATTAGGTCTAGAATGATGTGTGTAAAATTTCATAAAAATCGGTTCAGGTTTAGATATAGCTCCCATATATATCTTCGTCCGATTTAAGGTAAATTGTGTAATAAAATCCCTATATATCTTTCGATTTGCACGAAATTTGGCACGGCGTAATGAATAAGGTCTAGAATGATGTATGCCAAGTTTCGTGAAAATCGGTTCAGATTTAGATAAAGCTCCCATATATATCTTCGTCCGATTTAAGGTAAATTGTGTACCAAAGCCCCTATATATCTTTCGATTTGCACGAAATTTGGCACAGCGTAATGAATAAGGTCTAGAATGATGTATACCAAGTTTCGTGAAAATCGGTTAAGATTTAGATATAGCTCCCATATATATCTTCGTCCGATTTAAGGTAAATTGTGTACAAAAGTCCCTATATATCTTTCGATTTGCACGAAATTTGGCACAGCGTAATGAATAAGGTCTAAAATGGTGTATGCCAAGTTTCGTGAAAATCGGTTTAGATTTAGATATAGCTCCCATACATATCTTCGTTCGATTTAAGGTAAATTGTGTACAAAAGTCCCTATATATCTTTCGATTTGCACGAAATTTGCAATTAAGTTTAGAATGATGTGTGCAAAGTTTCGTGGCGATCGGTACAAATTTAGATTTAGCTCCCATATATAGCTTCAACCGATTTTAGGTAAATAGCCCACTAAAGTCCTTGGTATAGCGTACTGAATTAAGTCTAGAATGATGTGTGCAAAGTTTCGTGACAATCGGTTCAGATTTAGATATAGCTCCCATATATATTTTCATCCGATTTAAGGTAATTGGTGTACCAAAGACCCTATATATCTTTCGATTTGCACGAATTTTGGTATAGGGTACGTTGGTCAGCTAAGTACTTCGCATTGTTACAAGAGACATTTGGGTTTGAAAGGTTTTTTGTATAGAAGCAATAGCTTCTGGGGAGAATATCCCAACAAAAAGCTAAGGGAACTGATGAGGATCAGTGGCGTGATCCGAAACTATAGTCTTCCCTGCCTTTCCCCTCGGCAATCAATGCCATACATTCCCCACTAATAAATAGTTGTTTTTTATAAAAACAAAATACAAATGGTATCCCAAATAAACCGCCAACACTACTGAAGTACTGAATTAAGTCTAAAATGATGGTGCTAAGCTGCGTGAAAAGGTCCATAGCAAGGCCGAATGACACAACGTACTGAAGTAATATAAATTAGTGTCTGGCAATTTTCCCTGAAATCGGTTCAGATATAGATTTATAACAAAAACGCGTCGCCTGTTGGGATACATATGTAGAATATACCCAAAGTGGTGAAGGGTATCATATAGTCGGTCCAGCCCGACTTTACTACTTTCCTTACTGGTTATTCAAGTCGATTGAGGAAATTTTCCATACTATGAAGGTAAACTTCCAAAGTTTGTCAGATTGAGATGAAATGTGGAATATCGTACCGAATTGAGTCTAGAATGACGTGTGTTAAGGTTTTTGAAATCGGTGTAGAATCATATATAGCACCCATATAAAATGACCCAAAAAATTTTCGGCAAGTTCCCTCAGCGGAGACCATAGAGTGCAGATGCCACCGAGCGGTGGTTATTGTTGTTGCTTAACCTTTTCTCCCATTGGAATATTTGAATGTAGTAGTAAACAACAACCGATCCTCAGCGACCACCGCAATCCTCTGAGATTGCATGAACCACAGCGTTCACTTGTCGATTAACCTCCTTTGAGTTAACTTGCTAACTAACCGTCTTATAACTTGCTAACTAAAGTCTACGCGTTAGAACTAACAGGCCTCTGACGCCGCCACACCATAGATTACCAAGGAAATTTTTTTGTTGTATAGGAAAATAAGAACATCACCAATAAAACCAATGATTTAGAATATTTACTAATAATTCCTTGTGTTTTATTTCTTTGCTATTCCTTCTCTTTGATTTCATTTACACCATTAACTGCTTGGGAGCTCTCGCTGTCGCTTTACTCCGATTCCTCGAGTTAATCATTTGATCACCCCCATCCAACGCAACCACGGCGAGGAGTAGAACAAGCCCCTCGCCTAAACATTTGGTCCATATACATTTGGTCTCCATTTACTCAATTCTCACGCTCCTAAACAAATAGGATTAATCGGTTACGTTTTAGTGTTGCCCCCATATAACTGTACCCCCAAATATTCGGCATTTTAAAAATTTGTGGTATTTTTATACCCTTCACCACATTGTGGTACAAGGCATTATGTCTTTGTGCATATGTTTGAAACAGGCAAACGGAAACGAGATAGACACATGGTTTCTTTTGAGAATATGCATAGAATCGCTTTCTGAATCGATTTAAGCATGTCCGTCTGTCTGCCCGTCTGTTTGTGTTAAATTGTAAACAAAGTACAGGTCGCATTTACAACCCGATTTGAATGCAATTTCACGAAACTTAGCACACGTCATTCTAGACTTAATTTGGTACGCTACGCCAAAATTCGTGAGAATCGAAAGATTTGCAGGGACTTTGAAATCGGGCGAAACTATATATGGGAGCTACATCTAAATCTGAACCGATTTTCACGAAACTTAACACACATCATTCTAGACTTAATTCAGTACGCTATGCCAAAATTCATGCATATCTAATTATTTTCAGAGATTTTGGTGCACCATTTACTTAAAATCGGTCGAAACTATATATGGGAGCTGTATCAAAATCTGAACCGATTTTCACGAAACTTAACACACATAATTCTAGACTTAATTCAGTGCCTTATACCAAATTTCGTGCAAATCCAAGGATATATAGGGATTTTGGTGCACCATTTACATGAAATCGGATAAAACTATATATGGGAGCTATATCCAAATCTGGACCGATTTTCACGAAATTTGGCAGACATCATTCTAGGCCCAATTTAGTACGTTATACCAAATTTCGTTTGGGCCAAACCAATTGGCTGTGCCAAATTTCATCCAATTCGGATTATAAATGAGACCTGTACTTTGCTCACACAAATACATGGACGGACAGACGGACATGCATAGTTCGACTCAGAAAGTGATTCTATGCATATTCTCAAAAGGAACCATGGGTCTATCTCGATTATTTTTGCCTGTTACAAACATATGCACAAAGACATAATACCCTGTACCACAATGTGGTGAAGGGTATAAAAAGGCCGTCAGGTCAAAACGTCCTATTAACTATAGAATTAAATTTAAATATTTTAGATGATTATCATTTACAATATTAGCTTTAGGTTTAACGTAATTCCGAATATTATCCTTGAAGTCTCAGGGTGTAAAATTAAAAAAAATGTCTGCGAATACTTTTTGTATCCACCAAGAATCACGAAAACCAAATTACTGCCATCTACGACCATCAATTATAGGAACGAATCCAGAATGACAAATTAGGAGGAGCCAGTATTTAAGTAATGTCCATATTTATTATTTTATTCCTTACACAATTAAAACAACAAATCACAGGCATTCTCATTTAAAAATATATATATTTTTTTTATATTTATTTTTCATATATACATTGAAAATATACTTTGAACATAGAAATAAATAATTACACAATAAATCTTAATAAACAATAGTTGAAGTACCTTGGAGGTTTTGACTAATCCAACAATATACATTCTATTTACAATTATTGGATAAATAAAATTTGAACTAAGTTAACTGTTTGCTTTTCTATTAACCTTTTTAAATGTGTTTAGATGTTTATATATAAAAATACTTTAGGAAATATATTTTCTACATCCAGTCTGTAGAATGTAAAATTTTAATAGCAATTAAAAGCTGTCCTATGGCCATTAGTATGTATGTACAATATTTTCACATTTCTAGGTGTAGAGTGTATATATATGTATTTTGTTTGTTTCTTTGTTAAAAACTAATTAAAAGTTCTTATTTTCGACAAAATCCATCTAAAAATTTGAAGAAAAATATATTTTTGTTTTGTTTTCTGGAATTTTATTTTTAGTTCCTTGGGAAACCAAAGTGTTTGTTGTTGTTGACTTTACATTCCTGATTAATTTACATTAAAATGTTTTTTTTTTATTTTTACGATTCAACGATTTATCGTTGTTGTGGTTGTTTTTGTTTTTTTGTTATGGATTTATGTAGAAAATATTCGATGTAATTTTATTACAACAAAATTTTAAATGTTCTCACTACAAGACTGCCTGTCCGTCACTCAGTCAGCAATTAAAATTCCTTAATATTATTATTTGTTGTTCTTGTTGTTGTTTTTGTCTTTGGTATTTGATTTCAAGAGATTATGCAAAATAAATCTTTTGTGGATTTATGATTCTACAGCATTATTGTCCTCATCACATGAAATATAACGAATTTTTAATTTCTTCCTTTCCAGCCCATTGTGCACCGATATTGAGAGCGGTGATTCTTCTCCCGTTTTGATCATCTTCTCTGTAGCCAATATACTATTCCGATGTATCATCATCGTGCAGGTATTGCCCATATGATTCACCGTTGAATTTTTATGATCGGGTAATGAGGAGTTGTTAGCCACTTGTATCTGGGTCTCAATTGTACTGCGCTTCCAATAGGGTTTATTATCTACTGAAAATAAATAAAAAAGGGAAGAGGTAATTAATTTAGGTATAGATTTAAAAAAAATTTCTAGGGAATAGTAGCAAAAAAGCCGTTAAGTTCGGCCGGATCGAACTTTTTATACCCTTCACCATATGTGAAGTTTCAAACCCCGCTGGGAATTGTATTATACTGCCATAACATCGGATATAATTCATATATAAGGGGTATACCGACTACAAACCGATGGGTCCAGAATTCGAATCCCAGCGTAGGAGGAAAACTTTTTTCAAAACGGGTTTCAATTATTTGTAAAAAGATGCAAACATTCTTCTTCATACGGGGTGTATCGAAAGACCCCTAACATTTGAATAACCAAGCTCAGCCCATTAGGATAATACAAACCAGTAAGGAAAGTAGTAAAGTCGGGCGGGGCCGACTATATGATACCCTTCACCACTTTGGGTATATTCAACAGATGAATCCTAACAGACGTCGCAAATTTTAAACGAAAATGTGAACCGATTTCAACAATTTCAGGGAACTTAACACACATCAATTTAGGTCTAATTCATTACGCTGTGCCAAATTTCGTGAAAAACGAAATATATATATATAGGGACATCATTCTATACCTAATTCATTACGATGTGCCAAATTTTGTGCAAATCAAAAGATATATAGGGACTTTGGTGCACCATTTACCTTAAATCGGACGAATATATATATGGGAGCTATATCTAAATCTGAACCGATTTTCAGGAAACTTTACACACATCATTCTATATCTAATTCATTACGATGTGCCAAATTTTGTGCAAATCGAAAGATATATAGGGACTTTGGTGCACCATTTACCTTAAATCGGACGAATATATATATATGGGAGCTATATCTAAATCTGAACCGATTTTCAGAAAACTTTACACATATCATTCGAGACTTAATTCATTACGCTGTGCCAAATTTCGTGCAAATCGAAAGATATATAGGGACTTTGGTGGACCATTTACGTTAAATCGGACGAAACTATATACGGGAGCTATATCTAAATCTGAACCGATTTTCAGGAAATTTAACACACATCATTCTGGGCCTTATTCATTACGCTGCGCCAAATTTCGTGCAAATCAAAAGATATATAGGGCCTTTGGTGCACCATTTACATTAAATCGGACGAAAATATATATGGGAGCTATATCTAAATCTTAGCCGATTTTCAGGAAACCTAACACACATCATTCTATACCTAATTCATTACGATGTGCCAAATTTCGTGCAAATCGAAAGATATATAGGGACTTTGGTGGACCATTTACCTTAAATCGGGCGAAACTATATATGGGAGCTACATCTAAATCTGAACCGATTCTCAGGAAAATTAACACACATCATTCTGGGCCTTATTCATTACGCTGTGCCAAATTTCGTTAAAATCGAAACATATATAGGGACTTTGGTGCACCATTTACATTAAATCGGACGAAACATATATGGGAGATATTTCTAAAACTGAACCGATTTTCACGAAACTTAACACACATCATTCTATACCTAATTCATTGCGCTGTGCCAAATTTCGTGCAAATCGAAAATTATATAGGGACTTTGGTGCAACATTTACATTAAATCGGATGATAATATATATGGGAGCTATATCTAAATCTCAACCAATTTTTCCCAATTTCAATAGGGTTCGTCCTTGGGCCAAATAAGTGACCTATGCCAAATTACATCCAAATCGGATCATAAATGCGACCTGTACGTTGTTCACAAAAATACATGGACGGACAGACGGACGGACACGCGTAAATCGACTCAGAATGTGATTCTATGCATTTTCTCAAAAGGAACCATGTGTCTATCTCGTTTCCTTTTGCCTGTTACAAACATATGTGTGGTGAAGGGTATAAAAAGGTTAGAAAGTTAGCGATACCAAGAGTAAAATGGGAACACTTTATTAGCAAGGACACAAACCAATTTAAAACTTAAGGATACATTGTTTCTAGGCAACGATAGATGGCATTCCCATACAACAATGATTAACGAAACTAACACAAGGATTACTCGATTAAGATGGCAAATCTTTGTGGAAGCCATGTGGACCATTTACGTACAGGATTTTGTAAGCACAGCAAATCAGAAATACTAAATTTCTGCAAATTTTAATATGTGCATTTTCGTAAGTCTCAAGGCGTGAACAACTCGTCTAAATGTTGTGGGATGGAATACTTATATTAAATATTCAATCCTAGATATAGGCTATCCCTAAAGAAGGATCAGTATTGTGTAGTTCTGGCTCGAATATATGCTAAGCAATGAGAATACACAATCCTAAAGTAAAGCCATTTCGGTTGGAAAACGTGGACATAGTGTGTAATGTCATGTGTAATCGACAATCGAAGCCAAGACACCCCAGAAAATTCAAGCTAATACACATATTGAGCTTATCCAGAAACTGTAAAATGTTCAGAACCGAGTCTCTTAATTAAATCACACAAACTACCAAAGACTCCACTCTGCAGCCGACTCTACCTACTGAATTGACTGGGAGGATATCTCCGACCAGAGACTGTCACCTGAAATACTTCATGTTCGTGCCGTGTTTTTCAAATATGGAATAGGCATCATATCCCGGGAAGCCAGCTTGAAAGCGCAACAGCACCGTTTGTTAGAACCGCATTTACCTCAGGTCTACTTCTGTGAGATGCAATAGGACTCTTGGGACTACAGCACTACTCTGAGTTATGCGGAGTTATATTGCTGCCTGCTGCGTGTCCTCAAAATATTCTCCATCAACTCTTTGGCAGATAAGTGAAAGGTAATGGTCGCATGGACCCAAAAAACTAAATTGACTAACGTCTGCAGCTTGCACGTTACGATGGTTACAACGTGTTGCGGGAGGATCGCACTAAAAGCAGAGGTGGGTGACATGCGTTCTTGTACCATTCTGTACCGTACAGACCCATCTCGTTTGTTCAAGACCATAGTAAACCATACATGGAATGTAGAGGTGTTGTAGTTTAGTGCGGTACTGCTGTACCCCGAGTTATTTGGCCCATATAAGCTCGCGTTTGGAAGTTAATAAAAATGTAATGCTAGAATATTTCAATGCCCATCTCTGAGTTCTGGCATTCTGTCCTAAATACTGACCATAGGGGTGCAGCATTGGCCGAGCAAATTGATAGCTAGAATGACGGTGATGTCCTCTCGAGAATGAGAAGAAAAGGCCACAGTTCGCCAGATGAAGTAATCTCGCTATCCGTCATTCTATTGATTCAGACCACCTCCCCATTATTGTTTTCATTAGATTTTATAACCTTCAGAACACCGAACTTTCCGGAACAATCCTAAAGCTTATTGGCAAGGTTTCAGAGATTCCACCAATCAACGCTCCAAATCCCTCAGATCTTTGGAGGAATTTTTGGGACATCATCACTGCTTCAGCCGACCGATATATACCTGCTTGACGAATACCCCAATTAAGACTTCCCAGCATATGTGACGGTACTTACGAATGAATGTGATTGAGCTTTATCATATAACATCAGAAGATCCAAGCGTGGAATAAGCGGAAAAGTGGCTGGACCTCCTGAAACATTGCAACATCGGAATCGGAAGCAATAAACGCTTTCTAATCACGGAAAGGCGAGAGATCGGCTGCCCCATTTACCGACGTAACGGTGACAAATCCGATGAGGTAATTTAACCCGCAGTTCATAGAGCTCTTCAAGAGTGACGAAGCGACAATGAACGAGTTTCGTTACACTCAGAGCAAAGGTTGAGCCACCAATGATGATTATTTTGCAGATGCAATTCGTAACTCCAAGTCTTTTAAAGCGTTTAGTGCGAATGGAATATCAATGGAATTTATGAAAAGTATTTAACAGCTGTACTCATCAGCTGTACTCATCCTGTCGTTATTCACTTATTGGAAATTATGCAGGGTCGCCCCGATACTGAAGACAGGCGAGGATGCCACAAAAGTTGAGTCGTACATACCGATTTCATTTTTCTTCTCTGAGGAATTGAACAGTTATGGTGGTCCTTGACTTATCGATATTGTCAACCATGTCAAGCTGTTAGAGGACATCGAGAAGACTAACCTCTGGAAAATTTGAAATGTTCGATAATCTATTATATGTGTGGATGCCAGTCATATATGGAATTGAGAAGCAAGAAGTCGAAGATTCGTATAGTGAAACATGGAGTTTCCCAAGGTATAGCCCTTCAACCTCTACCTTTCTGATATTCCAGAATGTATGGGGATGATTGCACGATCATGACGTCGGATTCTGTTATTGATAACATATGTGGAAGGATAAACGTCTACACGATCTGATCTTGTGAAATTCTTCCATTTAAGGTGTATGAAAATCCCTGCCACCAGCTGAATAATGGAGAGAAGATTCCGACAGCCTTTTGAAGTCGTCTGGGCAAGCCACTGCTATATGCGATAAGTGGAGGAACAATATCCTTAAATCGGCAGCAATTCGTGTGCTGATAAGGAAACCTTGTGGTTTGCGAATCTAAGTGATATACAGTGGAAGAATATATAGACCTGTCAGTTGTGGCAGTGAAAACTGCAATTGGGTGCCTCCTGATTAAACCAGTGTACCATCTTTATGAAGAGACGAAAATCATTTCAGTCCCTTGGCACAATTAAAAGTTATCAATGCCGTACCCGCTGGGGTGTTATAGTCGGAAACACCCCTGTCATAGCCTTATGGACAGGCTTCCCCTTCTCAGGATCGTCAGGAGAGATATTCATGATTTTGAGGGAGAGAGGTATAAGCGTGAACCACTAGATCAACAGGCTTATCAAGCAGGTCTATAGTCGGAAAACCACTGTTATAGTCGGAAACACCCCTGCCATAGCCTTATGGACAGGCTTCAGCTTCCAGGGATCGTCAGAAGAGATATTCATATTGAGAGAGAGAGAGAGAACCTCTAGATCAACTGGCTTATCAAGCAGGCCTGAATAGCATCCATACAGATGGAGGAAATGCTATGAATGGAATGCAAAACTCGGAGAACATCCATAGTAGCAGAGAAGCAGCTGCATTAAAAGTTCTTAAAACATATTTTTAAAAAATCTACGCCTATCAATAGTCCTTCAAAAATGTTTTTTGAAAAATTTACGCTGATTAAAAGTCATAAAATATTATTAAAGCATCTACGCGTATGAAAAATTCTTTAAGAAATTGATTTAGAAGAGGAGAAGCAGCCGTCTAGGCAGCACGAGTAGTCTTAGTAGTACTGGGCTCGAATTGACCTAACGCATGCGCAGAATGTGGACTACGACCACACGACGCGTTGCTTTTGTCTACGATTTCTCACTGGACGAAACAACCTTCATGAACATGGACACAGAGGAGTCAGAACTGAGCAACAATTAATCGATTCCCTTTCTTGTATTTGAGTTGCTACAACAACAACCACAGTCTACTCCATTCGTACTCGAAATTATCACTTTAAACAGCCAAATCGATTGGAACATGTGTTCAGAATCTTCAAAATCCACACATAGCTTACAAATCGAAACACTCTAATATCACAATACTTACTTTTCATTCTCGATCCATGATTATTTGAACTATTTTTGTTCAGTGTCATGCGACTACGCGGCGAATGAATTTGTATTGCAGCAGCATTGAAGAAAAGGCAGCAAATGGCTTTTTGAAAATACATTCGAAATCTGAAAAATATTCGCAAAACACAACAACAAAATAATATTTTAATTTCCGTTTTCTAAACAAAACAAAATTTCCACTTCACCAGCATACTTACCTTTTGTTCATCCAATAGTAAATAATTGGATTGACCATGGCGTTGGACATGGCCAGCCAATAGAAACCCAAATACATGTGCTGGACATATTTCGCTGACGTGACTTGGTTATTGTGATAGGCATAAATGAAGAACAGATGATAGGGCAGCCAGCAGATGGCAAATATTGAAACAATGGCTATGAACATTCGCACCACTTTCCTCTTCGATTTCATCGATTCCATTTGACGTTCGGTGGTTTCGCCAATGGAGCGGCTACCCCATAATACACGGCCCATTAGTGTGTAACAGATTAGCATAACAATCATTGGTATGCCATAGGTGATAACCAGTATGATGATATTGTAGCTGTGTGTGTGAATGAGAATGAGAAGAAAGGATTTGTTTATTAGAGGAGGGAGCTTTGTTTGTATTTGTATTTCTTATTTGTGCATTGTATTGTATTACAAAGGAGGAAGTGAGATGTGTTTGTTTGTATGTGATTACTACTTACACATAATCCAAAATAGATGTTGGATATCGTCCATCCGGCCATAGCATATAACACACAGTCCGTTGTTTGCCATTATAATACCTGTACAAATACATACAAAGGGAAGTGGTATGAAATTAATCCGTTTGTTTACCTGAAATCAATATTGTAGTGCGAGGATAATTGAAAGCAAAGATGATGATGTCGAATGGTTTCGTTGGAAATGTTTGTGTATCAAATATTTATTCACCCAATGGGAAAATGTAGGAACAAACAAGTTAATATGGATATTAAGTTGTTAAAGGTATATATAAACTAAAGCAATAAATCGACGTTAAGTTCGCTTTTTGATATCTTCCAAAATTAGTTTTCAATAAATTCACGCTTATTGGTATTCCATCAGTTTTCGCTTATCGAAAAATTTTGTTAAAAATCTACGCTTTTTGAAAATCCTGTTTAAAAATCTACGCTTATTGTAAAGGCGCCGAAATTGCGTTTCGAAAAAGGGAAAGAAATAAAACACGAACGTTTTAGTTTCTGATTCCAGAATTTTATTGATTTATTAAATATTAATAATAATAATAATAATAGGGGAAGATAAAGAGAATAGGAAAGAACAGATTGCCTGTGTTACGAAGCGATCGTGACGAGAAGAAAATTAACAATAACAACAATGCTGCCAAGTGGCATTGGCGCAAAACAATACTCATTAGAAAACTGACAGTTCAATGTTGTAGCAAAAAGGAGTATGCAGTTTTCTCTTGAGTATGCAAACAAACACAATGAACACGAGCGTTCAAAGGATGCATTTCTCAACAATGCATATAAAAGCGATTCTTACTTAAACACTTATTGTAAGTCCTTTAACAATATTTTTAACAATTAAGAGTAGAATCGAAAGTGATAGTCTTTAAAAATTATCGATAAATCGAATATATTGTTAGCCATTAAGCATTTTTCTTCATAGTCGATCATTACCTGTTTTTTAGAAAATCCAGGCTTGGTCATAGACTACAATATATATGATACCCTTCACCACTTAGTGTACATACAGGCGGTGCTGATATATATAATATCCTGCAGATAGAACAGACATATCAACTTTAGAGGAGCTTAGAAATGGAATTGGGCGAAATTAAATGTGCATAGATATTTGAATCTATTAAAAACCTTATACACATACCATTCTGAAATCTATGAAAAATTCCATGTCAATCGGGGAGACTCGGATTCTTTGACGTGCCATTTGTATAAAACCGTGCAAAATTATGTTCGTATGTAAATTTGAACTTAATTGAATAACTGTGACATATACCATTTCGCATGATGCAGCACAGTGCGCTGTCCACAATTTTACCTCGTGTATACGGAACTGCCGAAGACTCCTCGTTGAGCCATTTACATAAAATCAGACAAAATATTTTTAAATCTAAGCAGATTTTTACAACTTTAATACACATCACTCTAAACTCAAGTATTCCGAATTTCACATAAATCGAACAAAGGTAGGCTCTTAGGTGCACATAAAATCGGACGAAAATTTATTTTGGGAGCTCTATCTACATCTGAACCGATTTCTGCCAAACTTCGCAAATATAAAACTGGACCCAATTTATAACAATGTGCACTTGTGCCACATTTCATCCAAATCTGATTATAAATGTGACCTGTATTTTGTTTACAATTTAACATCAACAGACGCACGGACATGCATAAATCAACTTAGAAAGTGATTCTATGCATATTCTAAAAAGGAACGCTATGTCTATTTCCTTTCCTTTTACATGTTACAAACATAAGCACAAAGACATAATACCCACAGTGTGGTGGTGAAGGGTATACAAATCCGCTTATTGGTAGTCTTTGAAAAAATATTTTAAAAAATTCTCGCTTATTTAGAAAATATTTTTAAAGTTTATTGATAATCATTATTGGTACATGGTATTATGTCTTTGTGCATATGAATATGCATAGAATCACTTTGTGAGTCGATTTATACAGGTCTGTCTGTTGATGTTAAATTGTAACAAAGTACAGTTCGCATCCGATTTGGATGAAATTTGGTACAGTTCATTTACTTGGCTCAAGGAAGAATTCTGTTAAAATTGGTGAAAATCGGTCCAGATTTAGATATAGCTCCCATATAAATTTTCGACCGATTTAATATTAATGGTGCATTAACGTCCCTGTATATGTTTAAATTTTCACGAAATTTATCATAGCGAACTAATTTGAGTCTGGAATTATGTGTGGTAGGTTTCGTAAAAATCCCATATATATTTTCATCCGATTTTATGTAAATGGTGCACCAAAGTCCCTATATTTCTTTCGATTTGCACGAAATTTGGCAAAGTGAACTAAATTGAGTCTGAAATTATTTGTGTTTAGTTTCATGAAAATCGGTTCAGATTTAGATATAGCTCCCATATATATTTCCATCCGATTTATGTAAATGGTGCACCAAAGTCCTTACATATTTTTCGATTTGTACGAAACTTAGCATATCATACTGAATTGATTCTAGAATGATGTGTGTTAAGTTTCATAAAAATCGGTTCAGATATAGATATAGTTCCTATATATATTTTCGTCCGATTTAATGTAAAAGGTGCACCCTTTATATCTTTCGATTTTCACGAAATTTCGCACAGCGTATAGAATTAGGTCTAGAATGATGTGTGTTAAGTTTCGTGGAAATGGGTTCAGATTTAGATATAGTTCCCATATATATTTTCGTCCGAGTTTCGGTATATTGTACAGCAAACTCTTAATGTTTGTCCGATTGACACAAAATTATGTGCAATGTATCAAAGTGGGACTAGAATTTATACCCTTCACCACAGTGTGGTACAGGGTATTATGTCTTTGTGCATATGTTTGTAACAGGCAAAAACAATCGAGATAAACCCATGGTTCCTTTTGAGAATATGCATAGAATCACTTTCTGAGTCGATTTATGCATGTCCGTCTGTCCGTCCGTTCATGTATTTTTGTTAACAAAGTACAGGTCGCATTTATGATCCGATTAGGATGAAATGTGGCAAATGTGTCACTTAATTGGCCCAAGGACGAACCCTATTGAAAATGGGAAAAATCGGTTCAGATTTAGGTATAGCTCCCATATATATTTGCGTCCAATTTAAGGTAAATGGTGTACCAAAGTCCCTATATATCTTTCGATTTGCACGAAATTTGGCATAGAGCACTGAATTAGGTCCAGAATGATGTGTGCCAAGTTTCGAGAAAATCGGTTCTGATTTAGATATAGAAAGCTTCCATATATAGTTTCGTCCGATTTAAGGTAAATGGTGCACCAAAGTCTGTATATATCTTTCGACTTGCACGAAATGTGTGCTAAATTTCGAGAAAATTGGGTCAGATTTAGATATAGCTCCTATATATAGTTTCGTCCGATTTAAGGTAAATGGTGCTCCAAAGCCCCTATATATCTTTCGATTTGCACGAAATTTGGCACAGAGTACTGAATTAGGACCAGAATGATGTGTGCTAAGTTTCGAGAAAATCGGGTCAGATTTATATATAGCTCCCATATATATAGTTTCGTCAGATTTAAGGTAAATGGGGCTCCAAATTCCCTATATCTTTCGGTTTGCACGAAATTTGGCATAGGTTACTGAATTAGGTCCAGAATGATACGTGCTAAGTTTCGTGAAAATCGGTTCAGATTTAGATATAGCTTCGATTTAATTAAATGGTACACTTAAGGCCCATACAGACCCATACACGTACATAAATTAATAAAAATTAATATCTATCAAGTTTCCTTGAAATCGGTTCAGATTATCTTCCATATATAATTTCGACCTATTCATATTGAATGTACACCAAATAATCAATGGGTGCCTGATTGATACATTTTAAACAGTGCGTGTGCTTTAAATCTATTTACAAAATTTAGAATAGGTTGCAGAATGGCATGTGTTGGAATTGATGTTAGTCGGTTTACTTATAGATAAAGATCGCATATTTAAGTTCGTTCAATTTCATGTCAATGTTCCTTAGAAAAGGCGACCTCTGTTAGGATACATATGGAGAATATCCCCAAAGTGGTGAAGGGTATCATATAGTCGGCCCAGTCCGACTTTACTACTTTCCTTACTGGTTTAAATTGGTGCAGTTGTAGACATAGCTTCCATACATATTTTCGACCCACTTCATGTTAATTTTGCAACAAATGATCAACGGATGTCTGATTGAGATTAAATTTTGAACAGTGCATCATACCGAATAGCGTGTGTCTAGTGTGCCTTCAATTGATTTAAGGGGACCCCCATTGTCGGGGTCAAAAATTTTTTTGATATAATTCAAATCTACACTAATTAATGAATGTCCCTACAAAATTTCAAGTGAAAATCTCAAGAACTCTTGAAGATATAGCCGATTTATTGTGTCAGCATCAAGTGACTGCTGAAGGGCCTCTCAAACTTAAAACGCTTTTTTCTCTAAACATTTTTTTGCGAATGGCGGGCACGATAACTCAACAACTAATAACCCAATCGATTTCAAATTTTTACACGTTTCTCTGTGAGTGTATAGCTATCGTATGAACTAGGATAAAGCCAATCGGTGAAGATCTTCTTCATTTTTAACTTGGTTTTTGGTAAAAAATCGGCAATTTTTTAATTTTAATTAATTAATTTTTTTTATTGATTTTTTTTTATTAATTTTTTTTAATTTTTTCCTTAATGAATGAAATGAAATTTAGCATAGGTTGCAGAGTGGTAAGTGTATGTATGGATTATTGTAGAATATACCCAAATTATTTTTCTATTTTCTTTACTGGTCAAAAGATATTTCTAAAAAAACGACGATTACTTATAGTCCTTCAAAAAAATATTTTAAAGAAATCCAGACTTATATATAGTCTTTATTTTTTTAATTCTACGATTATCGAAAGTACCTTTTTTTAATATTCACATTACTTCCAAATTTTTTAAAAATCATCAGTTATGGTACGCTTTCAAAATATTCTCATCTACTAATAGATCTTATTGATTTTGAAAAAATATACGCTTAGAGGCCTTTAGAAACATATTTCCCAAAAATCTACGCTTTTAGTCCTGCAGAAAATATTAAATTTT